GTTGCCTTCCACACAATGCATGCTGGGAGGGACTCCAGCTCCCTACCACCCTGTAAAACAACCAGTTGGGTTAAGAGCATCAATGAATGAATAAAAGGGGTCCAACCGAAAGAGCAGGTGGTCGGACGCCCAGAACTCTGACCTGATTAGCAACGCCGCAGTTAAATAAATAAAGAAGCAGACAGCGCAAATAAGAAAGGAGGGGATGTGCCAGGACGGCCCTCGTATGGCACATCCGTCTTCCCCTTGTTAGCATCTTGGCATGCAAACACCACACACACACACACACACACACACACACACACACACACACACACACACACACACACACAGGACAGCTTGCTGGGCCAGATGGCCTCTTGGTGAGGAGCAGTGAGAAGCTCCACAGAAAGGTTGGGTTGATTCATGAACCATGACCTCCACACGTCCCCCCCCGACTCCGGACAGCACGTGTATAGAAGAGGGATGGATCACTGTGTGTGTGTGTGTGTGTGTGTGTGTGTGTGTGTGTGTGTGTGTGTGGGGGTTATTGTGGAGAGGGGATTATACATACGGTGGCGCTGACTGTGTGGTGGGAGATTTACTTTCATATATAACCATGGGAGTAGTGAGAGGGAAGCAATGATTAATATTAACACTAATACGAGGTCAATTGATGATTACTTAAGGTTTATTGATTATGATTATGAAACATCGGATGAACTACAACAGGTTTTAATTTCCTGTATGATATGAATTTGTCATATATGAAACCTACTTTCAGCTTTTAACTAAGGAATATTTTTAGACATTATTTATTATATTTAATTCAATTATCGTATTTTCTTTTGTACATTTAATTTATTTTAACTATTTCCTTATAGTATGTTTAGTTTTTAGTAAAGCTTTTATTAAATATTATTGTTACACCTGTATAAGATTGTATCGATTGTATTATATTTATATTTTTATATTCTACTTTTAAATCTACATTATTTAATTTTTACTTCTGTCTTATTATCATCTTGTCAATTGCCAGTGAACTGCACTCAACTAAGGTGCTGTACAAATACAGTTTGATTGATTGATTGATTGATTGATTGGTTAATTGATTGATTGATTGATTGATTGATTGATTAATACCTTAGCTAAACAACTGCTGTAACTCTTTTGTTTCTTTCACAAAAGAACATTTGAGAAATATCTCTTAAATATTTCCGAACTTTGAGTATTTATGTCAGTTTAAAGTGTTAAAACAACAATTTTAAAATATATTTTTTTGTTTTGTCGGACCAAGAAAACCCTGCAGCAGGAATATAAAGAGAGAGAGTAAACAGAGACAGTTTAGATTCAATCTGTGAGACTTCAGGTTCACTTCACTAAAGGAAATATCGTACCTCAGAGATAAATAAAGATTATATCATTTTATAAAGGAAATATGTTTTGTAGATTTTTGTCTGCAATCTCATCTTGTTAAAAAAAAGAAATCAAATTGTGAGTTGATTGTATGGTTACATCTATATCCCGCAGTAATCAAAATATTTCAGAATAAACCATTATAAACCTTTATAAAGCCACAGTCAGACAAACACTACTTCATCGTTCACAGAATCCTATTTTTAAATCTCAGATGTTTTATTGACAAGTAAGATCATTTAAGTATTCAGTCTTTTAGTCAGTTACAATTAAAACACACACACACACACACACACACACACACACACACACACACACACACACACACACACACACACTGTAATAGAGCTCAATGGACGTGTGCATTATATTAATTCCTCCTGCTGCCTAACATTTAATGGTTTCTTAGAGCTACGTTAGCATTCATTACAGTTTTTTTCTGATTGCTAAAACACAATTTTGCAAACTAGGCTGGTTTTATCAAAATACTAAACACAATTCACAAAACCACACACCCAAACTGCAAAATACCTCATATATCCTGCAAAATGAAGCACTGCAACCAAAACTACATATAGCATTATCATAATCAAACTTTTGACACACACTTCATTCATATTACCAGATTTTTGTCTAACCAACTACACACTGTTGGGCGTAATGAAAAACACTCTCATCTTCAGTATGCTTTAATACTACAACAGTTCAAATTGTAGAAAATTCTTCAGATTGTTCACATGCACAGAAAAATTGCAGATACGCACACACACACACTGTTGAAACGTTTATTTTTTGATTTTTCACCAAACAAGTCACAGCAGATATATTTGTATGTGACTTTATGTCAGATTGTTGTGTCTTATGCAGAGAACCGTGTTCAGTGCATTTAAAAATGTGTGTAAAGCAGAAATTGTGTTTAGAGTTTTGGAGACTTGAGAAGAGGTTTTGCTCTCTGTGTGTCTTAGTTTAAATAACCGTGCTATGCATGTCATTTTAATGTGTTAGCAATTGGAAAAAACTGTAATAAGGAGTCTTTTTTTTACTCTTTATCTTCTTTTTCAGCACTTTCTTACAGTTTTGTTGGTTTCTCTAACGTGATGCATGTGGCAGCAGTGCGAATACAGCTGCTATTTATGATTCCTATAAACAAAAAAGGACGTCTGCCCACTTCATATTATCGCCTTCTGGCTCTGTGTGCGTGTGTGTGTGTGTGTGTGTGTGTGTGTGTGTGTGTGTGTGTGTGTGTGTGTGTGTGTGTGTGTGTGTGTGTGTGTGTGTGTGTGGGCGCGCGTGCTCCAAGGAAGAGGAGCAGGTGGGGAATGTGGGTGTGGCAAAAGAGGAGCAGATTCATCACAGCTTGGCATGTGTGTAACAGTGTGTGTGTTTCCTTTGTCCTGTCCTTTCTCGTTTACCAGTGACTGATGCACACACAAACAAACAAACAAACAAGTAAATAATTAAATAAATACAGAAGATTAAAACCTAAAAAAACTGAGGCTGTAACATTACTCCAAAGTAAAAGCTAGATTAAAAAGATCTTTCCTCTAAAAACACTGAGAGAGTTCATTCTGAGGCAGGGAGTTCCACAGTTTAGGGCCATAATCGTGCTGTTGTCCATAATATTTATATATATTTGGTATTTGCTGCAATGTGGCGCTCCCAGTTTGAATCCCGCTGTGGTAAATAAGGACAGCTGCACACATGCATTTGTTATGATTACTATGATTCAAACATTAAAGCAAGTGCAACAACACCAGACGCAGCGAGCCAGCTAATATTACTGACTGTAGTCCAGCAGTATGAAGGCCAGCTCGCCGTCTGTCTGCAGGCTTTTATTTCACCGAGCTCTCAGCCAGCGACTGGAAGCCGGTCCCACGTTCACTCTTTCACTGGCAGCTTCACTCTCCTTCTCTTTTCTTAGCTTCCTCCGTCGTCCCCTGAGGTCATCAGCTCTGTCGGATGAGTCTGGTTGCATTGCATCACAGATTCAATTTTTACTGAAAGAAACTGTTCAAATCCTGATGGTGGGACATTTTCTGGGTGTCTGTACCAAAGAAATATGTTTTCTTAAAATTTGTAGACCAGGCCATCTCTGCAGCTCCACAGTTCTTCATTATAATACTGTTTTATTAGATATTTTACACCCATTAAAACAACTGCAGCTTCTGCAATTTGGATATTGTACTTGGCCAGATTCTGACTCTGATAATATTTTGATGAATTGTGCATAATTTACATTCCGTGAGTGAAATATTCACACAATTAAACTTTATATACGTCATAAAAACATAACAAATGTTACTAAAACTGTTCAAAAATCTGATGAATAAACATTAAAGTAGTCCAAGAACAGTTAGATCATTATTTTTTTTATTTAAAGGACTTTTGCATTTGAAGCATTTTATGTTTGTTGGACTTTCAAGACTTTTAAAGGAAAATACCCGGAGAAGAAGCAGGACTGCAGAGGTTAAACATGTTAATTAACTTACGTTTATAGTTTGCACAGCTCCAGTATTATCTGTGCTAGCAGCTGCAGGACCGGGATACACCGTACATTAGCTTCTTGTTCAGTCTGTGCTGCTGCTCATCTTTCAGCATGCAAATTATCTCACCAGTAAAGAAAATAATAAACTAATCTGAATTTAATTTCTTTATTTTGTGCTTTTCAAGGGGTCCTAGGTGTTAATGAAGAGGTCTTAAACCCCCTGAGACCCCCAATATCTGCTCACACTGCTCACATATTTATGTGTGGGAATTAAATAGTGAGTGACAGGACGAGATAATGCAGCTAGCCAAATTAAACGCTCGTCATCAAACTCATTTAAAACGGGTTATTAAGGCTCCCTGACTTCACTGAGTATGACAGTGCGAAAGCAGCAGCAGACAGAGGACGCAGGCGGCTGTCGACAGTGACACTGACAACGTTTTACAGTGTGAATATTCGCCCCCTGTGGCTGCTCTATGGAAATTAAAATTGGGGGAAGAGCTCCATTTAGGAGAGAGTAAATAGAGACAATTTAGTGCGGATCAAAGAGTGTCAGATGCATTAGTGGCAGCGCTCAGATCTGAGCCTTTTCTTACTAAATGTTTGGCTCAGATTGTTGATTAAATTACGTTTTGGTGTTATTTTTATTATAGATTCTTAGCTCTAAAATTAGTTTTTTATTTATTCTGCTTTATTTGTTTCAGTCTTGAAGTCTTGTTGTTGCTATAAAGAAAGATTGATCTCTCTAATCTAGATTATAACGTTAATCCCCATTATAAAGACAACGCAGTGGGTCAGAATCAGATGTAATCTGAGCATCCAGGGAGAATGGTCTGTAGGGTTAAATGATTACATAACCGATGACTTAAAAAGAAGCCTCACAGCCTCGGTGTGTCTTTACTGGTTGTACTGGTTGTACTGGTTGCAGTTTGCAAAGTTTTCTCTACCAAAGTATAAAATACCTTGAGTTCCAACAGCTGGTTGACTGTAGCAGACTGTAGATATTCAGAAGTAAACACGACACTCTCAAAAGTACTTAAGATGACCGAAGTGCCCTTGAAAGTCACACTTTTTATGTACTTTAATTGTTAAATTTCTTTCTTTCTGTGTCTTCCTGCAGTGCCAGCTCTCCCAGGCCCTGAACGGTGTCTCAGACAAAGCTAAAGATGCGAAGGAGTTCCTGGTTCAGCTCAAGAACATGCTGCAGCAGATACAGGTAACCCCACTGTACAGTATAACACCTGTACACTTATAATGCAATCGTGGAATCATGGGAGTTGTTGTCTTCATTGTTTAACAACCGCCACTGCTGAGGAAAACTGAGAGAAAATATTTTATTCAAGCTACTTTGTTAGTCATGTACACCGACTTCCTTCCTTCCTCACTCTCTGGCACATTCCTTGTTTTTCTGGAAGTTATAGCAATACGAGGGAAGTAAACAAACCATTACCTGAATAAAATTACAGATTTCTCTGGGTTCAAACATTGTTGGAAACAACCCAACTACATATATAACATATACACTCCAGCATTTCTAGACATGTTTATGCCAAAATGTTGCATATTATACTTTTAATTCTGTGTGATATGTAATGAAATATACATTTCCTAATCCCGTCTGCAGCTCTCTGTAAAACTGTAAATGTTTGAAGTTTGATAGGATGAAATGTTTTTCCCATAACATCATCAAATCCTGTGAGTACTGGGAGGAATTTATAATGGAAGAGGCAGATACCAATTCCTCCTCCAGCAGCCCACAATGCACTGCAGCTATAAAGCAAATGTGAGAGGAGTGGTCTATCACAACACTGCAGATAATAATTGGCAGACATCTGTTTTGAGGACACTGAAGCACAAAAGACGGATAAAAAAAAACTGAATGGATGTTTGTTGTAGTTGCAGGTTTCTGAGTGTGCAGTGTGTGATTATAGTAGTATGATTAAAAAGTAGGCTATGCATAATGAAAAAGATTCACACGAGAGGCTCAGCTCACAGCTGGAAACACCCTAAATACATTTTGTGTAGCGAAACAGCTTCAGAAGGATCTTGGAAACAAAAAAATCTGTTTTATTAATACAATTTGTTGCAAAAAAAACTGTAAACTATAAAGTAAAGTGGGTGAAAAACAGCATTATAATGAATTTCTGACTGTTACCGCCTGCTCCTGCAAGCATTCTGACCACTGACTCCTGCACATTACAGATTTCTCCTTTCTCCTGGAGACATTATTTTAGTATGTCAACAACTTGCTTTGCTGTTGTTTTGTAGAAACTTGCTTTAATCTTCCTCTCAGCACTTTCGGGTGGGCGCAAACTAAATCCTGTTTACTTTCTGATCAACTGCTCTCATGAGATTTGTGTTCCCAATCCTGATGCAGTCCTTTAGTATGACAAATGTTTAACACATTTTTAAGTTAAAAAAAAATTGTGATGCAATAATTATAATTCCCACTCATCGTGAATCATATAGCATTCCTTAAAATATGTGAAAACAATCCCAATGTGCAGTTAGCATGCTGATATTTAGCAGGTGGAACTGGAACCAGAGGCAGCATCTCTTTTTCCGGTCTCAGGATCTCCATGAAGGTCTGGCTCCGCGAGATTGTACCAGAACTGATATCCATGCCAGATCAGTTTCCTCCACGTGTGGAGGTTTTTACATAATTTACGCCACCGCTGATGTTCTTGTCGTCTAAATAAATGTTGCTTTGAGGGACCTGCTGCTAATGGGCAATAAGCTCCAGATAAATCCGTCACAGAGAAACATTTGGAGTCCTCACACTGCAGCAGGGAGGTAAATCCACTGAATCCAAAGTAAAACAAACCATATCAGCCAAATGTGTGGAGTGTGTGTGTATATGTGTGTGTGTTTCGCCTGTGGACAGCACTGCTGTGCAGCTGATCTCTCCCACATCATCTGCCAGTCACACACACACACACACACACACACACACACACACACACACACACACACACTGTCTGCACTGTCATATCTTGTCAGCTGCGGCACAACAAGCAGGCATTAAGAGTCTTACTGCAAAATGAAGAGGACTGATTTAAGTAAAAAAAACAAACTCTGAGCACTACTTTGCTCAGTCTGAGAGCCAGAGGGCAGGGAGAGAGATGGATGGATAAAGAGAAAGAGAAGTGTGGGAGTGAGGAAAGAAGATCTCCAGCACTCATCCTCTTATAGATCTGAACTGTGTAATGAGCAGAGGAAGCTTGATTGGAAATCTCTATTATCTAAGACCCTCGTAATGTGGGCGCAATGTAGAGACACAATGTCCCTTCATTAAAGCTGTAATATGTGACACATTTCCTCATTAAATCTCTATAAACTTTAAACCTATGTTATATATGTAGTTGAGTACTCACATTATTATATTATTATTTGAACCGGATGAAAGATTTTAGTCATCGGACTTCTGGATCTTAAGTTATCAGAGAAACAAGCTGTTTGTTTTGGAGAGGAGGAGACCTCTGTGGATAACTGGACTCCCTGTAGAAACCTCCTGAACCATGAACACTGAAGGAATCCTAACCGGGAGCAGCTGACTGCAATGACGCCAATGGTGGTGAAGACAACAACTCCCATGATCCCATGCTGCTTTTTTTTATTGTTTTGATGTGAGAGACCCCCTAGAGGCAGAAATTACATATATTACGTTTAACTGCTGACTAAGTGCTCTGAAACAGATCGCAGAATGCAAAATATCAGCCGTCATTGATGCATATTTTCTCATTTTCTCTCTTGAATTTGTTCCTAAAAACACAATTTAATTGATGTCTGTTCCAGTAAATCTCTCATTATAAGTAAAAGGATAGATCCTCCTATATAAAAACCTTAAGATCTTGTGATAAACGCTCCCTGTAGTCACTGTAATGCCCCATGGTGTGGGTGTCCACATACATTTGGCCATGTATTGTATGTAAACTGTATCTTTTATGATGTATTACGTGGTTGTGTGCCTTGAGGGGAAAATGGTGGCGAGCAGGTGTTAAATAAGATGTATGACTCATTTTTGTCTGCAGGCTGTTGAGATAATGAAGCCTTCATACTGTCTGTGTGCTGGAAACTAAAATAGAAAAAAGATCTGTGTGGTAAATTAACAGATCAATAACAACAAACACAAAGCTGCTCCGTGCTGCTAAATGAAGTAAAACACACCAACAGATCTATTTTAGTCACCGCGCTGGTTTTATTTATTATTTTGGCCAATAATGACAATGAGGAAGTATTCACTTAAATAAAAGGACAAAAAACATACTGTAAAAATATTTTTAACTGGTCATGAAACCATCTCAAGTTAACACTGAAGCCTCTATATCAGAGAGAAGATTAACTCTTTTTATTATAATATTCTTAACACTTACCACCGGGATCGGATTCCCCTTGAAATCAATGAAACAAGGGTAGAAACACTACCGTGTTTGTCCACAGGGGGCGCCAAAATCAACCCAAAATGAAGGTTCCTCATAGCTGCTTTAAAGGACCAGTGTGTAGGATTAAGTGCCATCTACTGATTGCCACCAACTGAATACTGCTCACGCTCCAAACAGAGAAACTACAGTGGCCACAAAGTGACAAAAAACAACAATTCATATGTTCAGGTCATCATCCACTAATGAAAACGTACCTATAAATATTATATTGCATTTCTACTGCAATCTTACACACAGGACCTTTAAGTGGAAGCATGTAAATATAAGTCAGGAGTATGTCCCTGTGGCTGTTGTACTCTTATATATGATATAATTAGATTATTATGACTCATTCATTAATGTAAAAGCAGGATTTTCCTGTTGTAGTTGGTTGAGATGGAGCTGATTTTGAACTATTTTATACAGGACTGCAGCTAATGATTATTTTCATTATGGATTCCTCTGCTTAGTATTTTCTCCAATAATCAATGTACAATAGATCACAATTACCCAGAGACCAAAGTGACACCTTCATGATGTTTTATTTCATCCAACCGACAGTCCAGTCCTTTAAAATTATTACAAATACATCAAAAGTATGAGCAAATCTTCACATTTGAGGAGCTGCAACCATCAAATGCTCACAAACATTTTCTGTCAACCGATTATTTGACCAGTTTCTTCAGTACTTGTTTATTTTCATGTTTTGTGTGCAGCAGTCTAACTATGTGTGTGTGTGTGTGTGTGTGTGTGTTGCTTCAGGAGAACGGCGTGGAGTTCGAAGCCTGCCTCGTGGCGCAGTGTGACTCTCTGATCGAGGCGCTCACCAGACAGAAAGCCAAGCTGCTCACCAAAGTCACCAAGGAGAAGGAGTACAAGCTAAAGGTGGGACTGATGGATCTGTCTCTGTTTGTCAGCTGTGTGTTCACCCAACCTCTCAACAAACCCAACTGCTGATATTAAAACTGAATGGGAATCAGCTGCTTGTCCTTTGTTTCTAAGTCCTGGTGTGAACGGCTACATAGACTGTATTTCTGTTTAGCTGTGAATGGAACTGCTGAACTTATCCTACCAACGGTTGAGTTTTAAACAAAATATATGGGTTACAATGGTGATCTGAGTGAGGGGCGGAAATACAATAAAAATGCAGATTATTTCCAGGATATTTGGTCATTTTAAACCTTTCCAGGTGTTTTCCGTGACTGGAAAACTGTTCTCTAATTTTCCGGATTTTCCAGGCAGCTTGGAAACAAACTTCAGCTCTAAATTATTTCTATCTATCAGTTTATTTTTAAAACTCTCCTCTGTAAATCCACAGCTGGGGTTTTCCTAAGTCGTGGTGTTTCACATGGACGCCTGCCCAGCCTCAACGTGCCCACCGACCAACTGACCGTCTGGCTGATGGCGGGGCAGGAGGAGAAGGAGGAGGGTGGTGGGGTTGGGGGGGGTTTGGACAGAAGCCCCAAGGACAGCTGTTGTCATTATCTGCAGGCTGGGGATTGAGATTCAGCCAGAGGGCAAAGAGCTGGAGGCTGCGACAGAGCTGGAACAGGAGAGGAATAGCTGCTTGTAGATGGCTGATAAACTCCAGCACATTTTTACATGAATTAATATTCCGGACTCTGTTTATCTCGAACTGATGAAATGACACACTCCTATTCATGAGGAGACAAAAGAAAATAGACGATAGAAGCGCATTAAATCTGCGAGGCCAGAATCTGCGAGGCCTGTTGTATCAGACATTCAGCAGCCATTATGATTCATCAGAAATTAAAGATTTGACAAACAATATAAACAGAAAAACTGATGTAATTCTCTGAATTTATCATAATAATAAACTTTATTTATACAGAAGCTTTCAAAACAACATTAGAAAGTGATTTACATGGAAACAAATTAACCACAATTAAAAGACTCTGCAAATAAAAGTAAAACATTTAACAGAGAATCAGATAAAACCTGTAAAATAATAAAAACTCATAAAACATTGTGGAAGTAGGAAAATAAAACCAGCTTTTAGGTGATTTTAAAAGATGTCACTGGTTGTTCAAACCTCAGATCTTCAGGTTGATTCCCGGACTCTTGATCCAGGACTTCACAACAACCCAGTCGGGTAAGTGGGGCGAAGTCAATCTTTACTTGCCCCGACACAACTTATGTATTTTTAATTTTTTCATGTTTAAATAACAACAAAGACCTTCTTAACATGGCGGGCGAACGTCGGTTCTTATTGTGTCTCTCCAGCAGCGTTTTTCTGGAATAATAATCCCGTTTTATCCGCCCTTACTCTCAAACTTCCTCCTCTAACGCCACCCGACTAAACTCACTGATTCCAGGATCACTGAAATGCTCACATTGAGACTTTGTCAGATGTGCAGCTCTCAACAGAGATTTACTTCATCATCCGCTCAGGAAACAATGATTTATATTGTTAGATTGTTATATTTACCGTATTTTTTATTGTTGAGCCCTGACTGATGATCTGCGGCTGCTCTCTGGAGGCAAAATGAGAGTTATTTTAGGCTTAAACCCGGAGCACAGTTGATGCAGTGATATAAAAGCTTGTGTGACTCTGTCAAGACCTGATTTTCAAAGCCAGTGCATGAGGCACATACATGGACCGATGCTGATCTAGAGGAGTTCAATAAGAACCAGAATCTGTATTAATCAGCGTTAGTTTTCTGTGTGTTTATTATTGCAACATCCACCAAACAGCTTTCTTCTTTTTTTATTCCTCTAAAAACTCCAAACTACGTCACAATTTGGCAACAAACAACATTGGATTATGTTTAATTGTCTGAAAAGTGGATGTCATATTGTGCAAATTTAATTTTAACCAGGAATCTTCACACATTAGTCGCAGTTTTTCACACTATTTCCACAACTATGCAGCTTTTCCAACAAATAAACTGACTGAACGCAGCTTGTGTTTGTTCTTGGATGACTTCAGGCCCAAATGTGAGTTACATAACTCCAGTTCCGAGAAAGCAGAGCAGGTTTTCATATAGAGGAGGAAGAGGAAGGTTCGAGCTATAAAAGATGATCTTCGTATTTTCTGGCGGGGAACTAACCCTTTGCCCTCTTCCTTTTTTCAGAAGCACTTACAACCCTTTTAATCGGTTTTTGTAGGTACAGCTGAAGCCAGACACAAAATCAAAAAATAAATCTAAAGACTGTGTCTACACCAAGAAAGGCAGATGTTTATAGAATTCACCGCAGCCAGTTTAATCCGTTAAAAGCAACATATTTTGGTTTTCTCTTTCAAAGAACAGCTGGAAATACTCGCTGTATTTGTCTGGTGTATGTTCCTGGGTTGTCAGTCAATCTTAAATATCTTATTTTATCTTAAACTGGAAACATTTCAATAGATAAAAATTAGGTTTTTCTAAATGTTAAATGGACTGTACTTAGATTGCACCTTTATAGTCTTTGGACCACTCAAAGCGCTGTAAGATTGTTATTTAATATCTAAACTTTGTAGATCTCAACACAAGCTTATTATTATTATTCACAGAGACTTCACTCTGTGATTTGAAACTTAAGAAACAAATAATACGGACACAGATTTGTATTAACAGATCAGGGAGTGTCATCTCTGATCAATATTCTGCTCAAAATTCAATCAAATCGCTCTTTTCCTGCAGTTATTGTGGTCCCTGTTTGGGTTCATTGTACAGTTCATCAACTGCTCTCTACTGTTATTGTTATACATTGAATATAATATGAAATATCCATTAAAGACAGTCAGAGGTCATCAGTATACTCAATGATAGAAAGGGGCTCCCTAAAGGAAAAAGCTTGTGAACTACTGCCTTAGACGATTGGCAGAAACAGTAACTCCAATTATTACAGTCTTAACCCTCAAACAGCCCACAGACGAAGGAAAGACCAGTTAAAAATGTCCCACTTTTCACACATACAGCCACGTTCACGCAGACACACTGTGGTCATAATCCAGCAGCTGATGGATTAATATTCACTTCTCTCCAACCCTTACGGATGAGTGTGTGTCTGAGTCTCTCTATGAATGAGATTAGTGTTCATCCGATCCCATATTGTTGTTCTTTTAGATCCGAACTGTCAGTTTTCTGCTGCTGATTAGTGTCTTTAAACAGAGTTAACACTTCACTTACACACAGCTGGCACATAAAGTGAACATTTAAGCAGAAGTTTTAAAGCAACATTGCATTAAATATCTAAATATTTCTCTAACCTGAACTGAAATGTGGCTCAGACTGTGATGTGGAGGATGTGAGTCATGTGTGCCTGCTTATCTCCAATCTGGGCATTAACATGTTTCAATATTCACACCCTCGAATTCACTTCATATGCCTGTGGAACATATTGGAAAAAGCCCTTCAACCAGAGCTGCCGGAGCGCGTGGGGAGCGAGCTGAAGTACGTCCCAGGAGTCTGAAAGAAATTGAAATAAATCTGAGATGTGCTCGGGCTTCGTGCTTTCGTACTTGATGTTGTTTACACTGGAGATAAGAGCGGAGGTACGCCGACCTGAACTGAAGAGCTAATTTCCGCTCGGTAAATAATTTCACTGTTTGTGTGTTTTTCCAGCTGCAGCATGATGACCTTTTGTTGACCTTTGATTCCTTCGCAAATCCGAAACCCTTCAACAAACAAAAGACTTTTTTTTATATAAACACAACCAAATATAGAAATATTTATATAATAATTACGGGTAATATAATTCTGATTGAAACCTTTGGTTCATTGTAAGTAGGGACGCACTACATCTCAACCTGTCCACCAAATGTGTAAAACTATGCTCAACTAAATTTATTTTTAAGATACGAAAATGTGAAATTATCGGTAATTTTATCGGTTTACGAAAATACTGACACAATAAAATAATAATAAATAATATAAAAATATGAAAATGTGAGATAAAAATATTTTTTTAAATCAAGTGTATATTTGTATTTTCATCTGGTACTTCTGCTGTTTACCTCTTCATATTAGGTGATGACCTCTGACCCCGTCACACACACACACACACACACACACACACACACACACCTTCCTCTCGGACTGCAAATGGTTCTGATCCTCTTTCAGTCGACTCTTCACGCTCTTCATATTTCAGTTTATTCAGCCGCTGACAGGTGAATAATTAACTGTGATCTCATTAACCGCCAAATAAACGACGGGACTAATTTCCACGACTCTGTCTCATTAACTCGCCAAATCATTTAGGCGTCCGTTGGTTAACTGTGTAATTAATTATCATCGATTCACCAACATCACAGGACGTTTTCTGTCCAATCTCCTGCTTTACCTTTGAAAATGTTATGTTATTTATAACGTACGTATAAATATATGTACAGTACATATTAAATACACGTCTCTGTTAAAGAAATCTCTGATCAGTTGAAATGTGGTGCAGGTATTATGAATGGAAACAAAAGGCTCGTGACAGTTCACTGGCTTTCAATTAGCTTCAAACGGCTGGTTGTGACACCCGTCCAAATCGCATTTCCCTCCGGCTCGGACTTCAGCCAGCAGATGTGTGTGTGTGTGTGTGTGTGTGTGTGTGTGTGTGTGTGTGTGTGAGAGAGAGACAGAGAGAGAAACATCCAAAGAGCTAGAGAGTCACATTTGTCTGGTTAAGGCTGATAATGTGTTTGTGTAAAATACTGACCTCACCTCACCTCACCTCCATCTTCCTTCCTTCTCCTTCCATTACGTCACATGACGCAGGGTTATTACTGGTGATAGTGGGCCAGGAATATTAAAGGATTAAGGTTTAATAATTGATGAGACATAGCGTTGAGTATTAAATACGATGTTCTGTTGCCCGTGGTGGATGCAGCGTTCAGCAGGGGACACAAATTGGTGCATAGAAATTCACCAGAATGCAAGAAATGAAGTGTTTGGGAACCGCTGACATTGTGTCACTTTATTTCTCCACATTGAAGGTGGCAACCATAGTTGTGTTATACCTTTGCACTCTTTTTCCCGCCTGTTTTGCCTGCCAGCCACTAACTCACATGTTGCTCCCGCCAGATGATCCACGCCCATCTGCACACCTGCTCCCCGTCCCCCTCATTATAGTCCACATATAACCACACGCTGCCTGAAGGAAGAGCAATCCAAAAGTGATGCAGTCCAAGTTTTTAAAGCTGTTAAATGTCTGGATTTGTCACATGTTAGCACATTAGCATTCATGACTTTCCTGCATTGTGTGCTAATATACAGCGTACTATACACCACCGCACTCACAGCCATATAGCATTAGTGTGTTTCATTGCATTCAGTTTTTGACCTCTGCCTGCCCTCTGGACACTGAGCTCTGTAGCTTTTGCCCCTTTGGACATATTACTCATTTTTGTTGGCTCCATTTGTTGCTCTGTTTTGTACACAGGGAAATGGGGAAATTCCTTTTTAAATAGAGTGCAGGCGGCAAATGAGGCAGACGGTATGAATCCTGCTGATAACCAAGCCCCAGCACGTGGAAGAGATGATGTTATAAACTTTAATTTAATCTTTTTAAAGCCTGTGAGTGTTGTCAAAGACACTACAGAACATTTTCTATTTGGATTCAGATGGATTTAGATGACAAGCTGTGTGAAAAATGTTTTTATTAGACTTAATTTAAAATACTACTGGCACATGTCGTGGTCGGGTTTTGGAGTGCAAAGGCTCATTTTAAGGTAACAAAACATAAGGACTCCTATATTCAGGTCATTATACACTAATGGAAACATACCTGTGAATATTATATCCCATTTCTAGATCCTCCTAAATGTTACACACTGGACCTTTAGGTTCATCATCTGATCTTTTTGAGTTTTAAAAGCATTGAAAACATTACAGAATCTCTGCTCTGTGCCGTAACTTGTAACATCTCATTTCTCTTTGTCAGGTGGTGCGTGACCAGATGACCCACTGCACCATGAAGCTCCGTCAGACCACCGGCATGATGGAGTTCTGCCTGGAAGTCCTCAAAGAGAACGATCCCAGTGGATTCCTCCAGGTACCTGAACCACTGTGTGTGTGTGTGTGTGTGTGTGTGTGTGTGTGTGTGTGTGTGTGTGTGTGTGTGCGTGCGTGTGTGTAAAACTTAAAAGGAAACATGTAATACTTCAGATTATATGAGAAACTCAAATGAACGTATATTAAAGAATAAGGTTGGAGATTTGTTCATGAAGATACTAAAACCAGCAATTAATAGTAATAATAATACACAAAATGTACTTAAATATAATAATAATGAATACGAAACTACTGTGTATATGTACCCTACTAACAAGTAGAGTCATGGAGCTGCAGTCTCTGTGCTGTTGCACTTATTATCAAATATAAAATGGTATAAAATAACGTCAGGCTGTTGCAAAATTCATTTATTCTTGATTTTAGTCTCTTCAGGGCGAAACTGATGAGCATGAAAAACATAAACAAACACCATCCTTCTCTTCTAAAACTACTTAAGTTAAGCCTTAAATTGCAGAGATTATACACAAGGCAAACACAGTAGGGGGTGGAGTCTCACTGTACACTTAAAATAAATCAACTTTTTCTGTATTTGCAACCAAAAATGTAAATCTGTTGAAGTTTAAAAAGGAGGAGGAAGCGTGACAACTTAGTTCCTTTGAACTAAAGAGGAGAAATCAGCTTCGCAGGGAGCCTCTGATGTTTCTGAAACCAGCAGCTAGAAACACTGCAGAGTCAACAACAACAACAACAACATACTGCGTCCACACACAAACACACACCGGCAGGATGCATCTGGTTTGCTTCACTAATACTGCAGATGATCTATTTTTAATCGACCCGAGGTGTTTGGTTATTAGCAGGCTCAGATGCTCGATAGCTGATCGATAGTTATTGATCCGTGCATGTTAGGTCAAACTGAGAAAGGTCAAATGTGAGAGGTGGAGAAAGTAGAAGGAAGTGCAACCCTAATGTTCCTCTTTAACAGCTCAGGAAACACACTTAACATTGCTTAATCAGGTCAGTACTTCACATAGGGCTGTGCAGTGTGACCAACATATCATATCCCAATACTCTATACTGTATACTCTATACATACCATGATATATGATCATAATATACATGATATAATACAAATAAATGGTACTAAATCAATAAATGCTGAATCATTGTCTGAATAACCTTCTTAAATCATCCATTTTGTTTGCAAAATGCGTTGGCAATGAATTCCACCAGCCCATGGCTCTGTTTTCTGACTGTTTTCTGACTGTAGTTTCAGTTATATTAACCTTCTTTCTATTCTCTTATCATGTTTTATAATTGTTGTGAGCAAACTGAGAGAATAACCTTTCATATAATATCTCTGGTAAGACTGTCTGTTCGATGTAGAAATATTTCCTACAGAAAACAAAACCTTAGAGAACACACAATCTTTTAAACTTCTCCGAGCTCTATAACTGCATTTATGGCTCTCTGGATTTCTATCGAATTATATGAGATGAAATTCTCGTCTCTGCTCCTGATTATGAATCATTTCTCTTCCTGTAGAGAGGTAGTAATGGAGTAAGGTGAAAGGCAGAGATGAAATAGAGATCAAAGACACTCCTGAGGGACACACACACACTAACACACACACACACACACACACACACACACACACACACCCTTTCTTCCATTTCATCTGAATATTTTATAATGTATTGATTATGTGGTTTCTTTATGGTTGCCAATGCCTAGATCCTAACTAGAGGCTTTTTAAGGAGTCCAAGGTGGATATTAGTGCTAAATGTAAGTTCACAAACGTTACAGTGCTCCTAAACTAAAATGTAGAAATGAAGCCAAATGAAGTGTGTTTATAGCTTGAGGATGAATTTTCCAAAATCCTCGGCTCATGTTTTTCTTTTAGTGAAGATTGCAATCACAGTTGAGTTTAACTTAATGTATTCACTTTACTTATTTTTCCTGAGGCAGTGAAGCTCTTACGAGCAGGCGGGGGGTCTAATTCTTAGCCTTAAATATTTGAACTGCACTAATGCGTGCCTCATTTCACTTGTCAGACACAATGTAATGATGCCAGGCTAATGGGACAGATCCCAGAACAGAGAGGCTGTTATGAAAAGGAGGGTATCGCAGCCTAGCAAGCATATTCAAATGTAGATGCTCTCAGTCTTTGACTGTACGTGTCTTTTCCTATGCTCATCTTCCTTCGCTGTATACATGTGTGTTTTAATCTTGTCTGTGTGTGTGTGTGTGTGTGTGTGTGTGTGTGTGTGTAGATCTCAGACGCTCTCATCAAGCGGGTGACATCGTCTCAGGACCAGTGGGTGAAAGGTGCCCTGGAGCCAAAAGTAGGCCCTGAGTATGACCTCACCCTCAACACCGACTCGCTGCTCCAGACCATCCTGATGCTGGACTTCTGCCAGGGCAAAGGTAACCACACAAACGCACACACTTCCCCTTCAGTTTGCAGGTTTATATCCTTGTTTTAACACCCATCTTAAAACTGCATTAGAGGAATGGCTACAGGATTGCTTAGACTCTATATTATTGTATGTGTTTCTCTGCAATATGCCTTTTTATTGGCCTTTCATTCTTTAATTGTATTAACTTCGCTGTATTCATTAACACTTGCTGTTTTCAAAGTACTGCATCATTTGGGTACTGCACTCATAAACATGGGTGTCCTACAGGATACCGCTAGAAAAAGAACCTCAAAATCAGTGTAGTTGATTTCCTGACTTAAAGTATATTGGGTGGGCCAAACTCCAAAAACACTCCATCCTACCTTTCCCATAATGGTACTCAGTTATGTCATTATGGCGTGTTAACATAATATTATTTAGACTTTAATTATGTGCAACCAAAGTGGAAAAATTTGGTTAAAAGAACTACATACTGTACATGTAGGTGTCAACAAACACTTGCTGCATCACTCGCAGTTTCATTAAAATAAAAATCAAAAAATGAACACAATTTATTCAGTTAATTTTAAAGGAGATACAGTTTGTTTGTATCTGTTTTGACCAGCTACTTAACCGATTTGAATACATAACACAAAAATTGCTCATTTTGGCTATTTACATTTTATAATTACAAGGCTAGCAGAGAGGGGTAACCAATAACGGAATAATGCTTGAACACTCCCAAGTCAGAATAACAAGAGGTTCAATTAGGGTTTATATCTTAGTATTAAATGCTTCCTGCTGAGCCACAGAAGACTTTATAAAGCCGTGTACAGAGGCTGGCGGGTAAACTTAACTTATGTAAAATCAGTGGAGCACCCCTTTAAATAAATCAACTTGACATGAAATAACAAACACAAACATGCTTGAAAATGCCCCTTGATGATATATTGGATAACCCATAAACAACATTTACTTATGAGGCTTCTTCAAGATGTACAACAATGTGCACAACTGATTAGCTATTCATTGGCTGTTGCTACCCAGCTACCAGTTGGCGTGCATGAGTAAACACAGCATCGTTCACATTCATACCGCTGCAGATTACCCAGATGTATTGTTAATGTACATTAAATATGTAATCAGCACTATGCATATTTTATTTTGATACTGCGCCACTGAGGCAAGTAAAGATCAGGTGTCTTCCTTTGCAGATGTGGATTCAACCTTGCTAAAATACCAAACAATACGTTATTCTTTGCAATCAATCATTAAGGCTTTTGTTTGCTTCATGAGTTGTAATGCGGCATACATTTAAAATGCACTGTGATCCATTATAAATCCATTAACAGCATGTGCAATATTATCATCATATAATAAGAATGACATTCAATTTAATGCGGTGTAGTTAATATTTATTATATCATGGTGGGATTATACTGATTATGTGCTAATAATGGGTTTGTAATATGCTTATAATGCCTTATGGTACCTTTTTTTATCTCTAAAAAACATTCTTCAAAAGTGAGATAAGTTTAAGCCTGTTAATAAAGATTGTGACCCAGATCTGCAGGTCATGGCCCAGGTTGAGCTGTATTTGAAGGAGACTTTTCTCTAATTTGAGCTCCCGTAAAGTGAATCCGAATAAGCATATAAGAAGTAGAGAAGCTTTGGTCGTCCCTCCTTTGTTCTTCAAGGCCGATGACATGAAACACATCTGTACGTTTGCTCACCTTCACATCCAAGTGATCATCTGGAACAAAGCGATAGAGTTAAACGATAGACCATTTGATTTTATGTCTTTGATTTTTAGTCTTTGACATCCTGAGCAGCAACAGAAGTGTCGGAGGTGTTAGGATTCACAAGAAGCCTGAAATTATTCTCCATCATTATAAGTTAGGACATGACTTCAGTGTCCTAACTTATAATGATTTGATCTAGTTAAGGTTATCTTATATGGTTATGTAACATTGTATGCTCCAGTGTGAAATGGTAAAACTTAAGGTAAAGATAATTTGTAATTTAAACCTCCTAACTCTGTATTTGAGGTTCAGATTTAAGGTAAATTCTCTTGTATATCAGCAGCTTAAGTTTGTAGTAAAGTTAAATCTTGAAGTGGAATCATGGCCAAAACTATTTAATAAAGAATCAACTTGTAAATAAATACTGTAAGAAAGGTCACAAAAGTAATTGTTACATTTTTGTTATAACTGTTAGTTGAGTTAAAGTGACTAAAACATATATGCAAATCAAGTTGAAATACCATCACATTGTTGAAAAGAGCACTAAGCACACAAATAGTAATACTTGTGATCAAACTTTCATGTTTGTACTTTAAAGTCTCTATATAGTTTTTTCTGATCTAAAATCAGATATTTTGGTGAAAATCTCTGTCATGTTCTAATATGCAGATGATACCTCATTTTATATTGATGAAACTTTCTACAGTGTTTACATAATCTCTCTAAAATAACTTAGAGTAGATAAGCAGATTTTCTGATATGAAATGTTAATGAATTATAGTAATAGTCTGACCTATAAGTCAATATTGTAGAGATTTGCATATGAAGGACAATATCTTTTGACTTCCATTAGGGAGACTTCCTTTCGTGACTTTCTGATCATTTTGGTGATACAGCAGCTCACGTTCTTCACTGCTTCAGTAAATATGTTTCTAATGCAATCGGTTTACATTTCTCCACTGGTCTCACTGCTTTATACGCCATCTTCTGTCCATGTGTCCTTCGTATTAAGACTTCCAAACCAACGTCATATTTCCAGATGTGCAGGAGAATCCGTTATTGAAACAAATGCAGGCAGCAGACAGTGGTGAGGCTGAGATGGAGACAGAGAGCCCAGGAGGTATTTCAGAGACTTTTCACTGTAAAAAAAACCTCTGTTTTGTCTCTCCTTCCTCGTCCCTCAGCCCTGATAGTCCTCACGGCCATTCTGGTTGGAAACGCACTGATCTTTTTGTCCCACAGCGTCTTTCTGGTCTCTCTCCTCTGCATGGTTATTGTTTTCCAGCTCCTCTCCAATGAATGGCACGGCTGCAGAATAGTGCTGCCTTCACTGGAGCACAAAGTTTCCAGTTACAGAAATTTGTAGCCTGAAGTACTTCTCTGTTTCCCATGCTATGGTTTGGTTACCAGTTCTTTAACTTTTTTACATAAATAATAATTTTACCATTATTTGACTGAACTTTTTTTTAAATTCTGTTTTTATGGAAGGAAAACAAGCTGCTGCAGGGAGAATTATTACAACTTATAAACAGAAAATATTCCTTGAATATATACATAAAAATGTATGAAGATGAATTTAAATTATTAGATATACTTTATGAAAACATAAATAATAATCTTTATAATCTTGTGGTTGTTCATGAATCAAAGAACTACTTTGGCTACAAATGCTGTGAAAAATATGGAATTTGTTGTTCCCTCTGTCATGACTGCCGCCTTTCCTCTGTGTCTTCACCACTCTAATTTTGGTGCAGAAAGATCAGAAAACAAATAAAGAAATGATATGAAACAGACTTCATCACCCTGAGATCTCCACTTGTGTGTTCAGTGGTTATTTTTACCCTTTTTTCGGTCGTTTGTGTGTTTGTTTCAGCTCCTTTTGGAATGCAGTTTTATCCCGTTTGTTTGTTTACACTAGTTTTACCACCATGAGGGTTAGACAGATATGTCTTTTTATTTATAGGAAAATCCTTTGATATGATGCTGGTTGCCCCCTTGTTGAATTTCTTAACCAGCTGAGATTCCTGCTCTGACTTAACTCATTTAAAACCATTTCATCAGACTGTCTTTCAATTGGGACTTTGTAGCTCAAGACAGATCATTGGATAGGTTTTCCAAGAACGTGACTTACATTAAATACTAATTAGGAGGGACTTTTTGGCAAGAAATAAGCCAAAGCTTATATCTTCAAAGCTTATATCGGTCTAACCCTATGTACCACTGCTACCTCAATATAATGTCCTCACATGGCCTATTTAAAGCTTCCACTGATTCCCAGCTGTTGCCCTGTAAATGAACCTTTAGCTCTTTCACCTTTAAGGCTTTACGTTATCTCCCACTAGATTCACATTAAAGCTCCTCTTTCTCTCCCTTCAGTTTGTTTAAAGGCAACCAGCCAGCTGATGGCATCTCCCTGTTTGTCTTCCCTTTTCTCCTCATCCGTCCACCCTTTCATCTCTCCCTCCTCTCATCCCCCATCCCCCAATTACAATCTTTATGTCTCATTCGTTTCATATTCTCCCTGCAGTGGAGTCTGGACCCTCGGTGCCGGTGGCTCCCCTCCTGCAGCTGGAGAAGTGCTGCACCAGGAACAACAGTGCAACTCTGGCCTGGAGGGTCATTGCGCCCCCTGGCAGCCCCATCGAGGGGTACATCCTGGAGCTGGACGACGGCAACGGAGGGCAGTACAGGGTCGGTGTCTCAAAAAAACACACACAGTCAGAGAACATACTCTAATCTGAAATGCAATAAATGATGTCTCTTCTGTTGCTTTTTTATTTTATTATTAATAATCCATATGCTGCTCAAGTCTGACTAAAGCAGATGGTGGAGTGTGTGTGTGTGTGTGTGTGTGTGTGTGTGTGTGTGTGTGTGTGTGTGTGTGTGTGTGTGTGTGTGTGTAGTTAAATATGTGCCATCAGTAAACGTGTGTGCATACTTTTTCTTCTCTGCTAGTCCATGCAGCAGCAAAAATAAACAGGTATGCATTTGATCTACACACAATAATTAAACTAAAATGTGTGTGTGTGTGTGTGTGTGTGTGTGTGTGTGTGTGTGTAAGCAGGAGGTGTATGTGGGGAAGGAGACAGTGTGTACGGTGGACGGCCTCCATTTCAACAGCTCCTACAACGCCAGGGTGAAAGCCTACAATGCCATCGGCGTGGGGCCGTACAGCAAGACCGTGGTGCTGAAGACCTCTGATGGTGCGTTGTATACGTTTGTTTGTGTGTTCTAGCTTTTTTCCAGTTGGTACTGAGTCTGTTTGTTTGTTTGTTTGTTTATTAAGAACACCATTATTCTTCCTGGGAGCCACACTTTACATGGTCACAATACAAATATACATACTGACATTTACACATTGTAAAGTAGGTCTACTGTAAACAAAACAATAACAACTGACACAATTTAAAGACAAGCATACAGCAGATAAACATCATTATTATATTATTAGAGTACTAATTAATTAAGTTTCCTCTTAAGTAATGCTTTAAAACCATATACATTTTGTCATGTAATATGATTTGGAAGAGAAAAGGACAACATATGTCTGATTTAGAATAATGTCCTTTGATTTTCTTGGTATTATGTGTGTGATGACTTACACTCACTCAGACCATGGTAAACGGATTAGCTTCTGGTGAGTCTGGAGGTTTTTTAAGGTAGAATAAAAAGGAAGCGCTTTATACTACAGGACACTGAGGAGACAGCAGAGGAGAATGGAAGAGAAAGATGGGAAATGGGAAGAAAAGAAGGGAAAAAGGGGACAATGACAAAACCTTCCATAACCGCAGTGGGACACGCACACACACCGCAGTAACAATGGGCATTAGTCTGTTTTCTGACTGATAACCGCTCATCCCTCCCGCCTTCCTTTATTCTTTTTTTCCTCAGTCGTCTTTATTTCTTCCGACCTCTTTTTCTTCCTCTCACCCTTCATCTCCTCCTCCTCCTTTCTCGAGGACTGGAGCTCCTTACAGCGACACGGAGGAGTAAAAGAGCAGGCGACAAAAGGCTCTGGCTGCAAAACACACACTGATATTGATGCACAAAAACAATTACATTTTGTTGTATAATGTTTGATTTTGTGTGTGTGTGTGTGTGCCGTGTGTGTGTGTGTGTGTGTGTGCTTTTACCCTGAAGCTGAACTCACTCACAAACACACACACACACACACACACACACACACACACACACACACACACACACACACACACACACACACGCTCACCAGCCATAATGTTATATAAAATTGTCAGACATGGATTTACATATGTAAGTCTGTCTGGAGGGAACCAGCTGTTACTACACTTATTATCCAGTGTGTAATATTCAAAGTGCATAATATAAGTGTTAGTAGTTCACTCTTTGGGGGCGAGCACAGACCACAGTATGGAGTGTGGACTGGAGAGGTGCCTGTTCCACCTCCTGGGCACTGCAGAGGTGCCCTTGAGCAAGGCAACAAACCCCTAACTGCTGCTTTGGTGTTGCTATGTGGCAGTACATTACCCTACCACCTTTACTAAGTCTATAAGCCCTGTGTGTGTGTGTGTGTGTGTGTGTGTGTGTGTGTGTGCATGTGTGTGTGCGTATGTGTGCGTGTGTGCGTGTGTGTAAGATTGTATTTTGGGACTGTGTGAAAAATGAGTGAAAAAATAATTTCCCCTTTGAGGATTAATAAAGTTAATCTTATTATTATTATTCAAAAATAAGTTTACTATGGAGCTTTTATTGTGACATAAATAATGAAACGTGAATTTCTTAGTGAGCTCGTTTTAGAAACAAAATTAAATTAATCAAATAAATCAATTCATTTAAAAATGATTCTTTACTATCACTTCGTGTCAGTTCATATTCTATTTTTATATTATTAATCTAATATAGCAGCATATAGCAGCATCAAAGTGGAGGCAGTTCCTGCAGTTGTTGGAAGTTACATCATGACATTTTTAAATCATTTAAACATATGAAAGTTCCTTCTTTTCTCTGTTAGAGGAAAATAAGTTGTTAGAGCTTTTATTGTGACATAATTAATGAGTTTTGTCTCTTACTGTGGAAGCAAAATGTGTCTGTCTTATTGATCAAAACGAATCATTTAAGCTGTTGATAAAGTTTGTATTTGCTGTTTATTTTTAGATTTCTTCGTCATAATTGGTCTAAAATATTTGATTAATATAACTCTGCTCTGTTTTTTGAGGCTTTGGCTGATTTTAATTTATAATTTCAATCATTTAAACATGTTAAGCTTCTTCTTTTCTATTATTATAGCAACATAAGTAATATTATAAAATATATATTTACAACAGGATGTTATTCTTGTTGTTATTCTAACTGTGGCAGCAAAACGTGTCTGTAAAATCAGTTAATGAGAACCACACACATGACACTGATAAAAACATCTTGAGTCTTGAAGATGAGCAGGCGGATGTAGTAATCATGTTGTTGGTTCCTTCCCACAGTGGCTTGGTTCACCTTTGACCCCACCACGGCTCATCGCGACATCGTTCTGTCCAACGAGAACCAGACTGTCAGCTGCAACAGCTACGACGACCGCGTGGTTCTGGGAACCGCCGCTTTCTCCAAGGTGAACACACTCTGGAACTGATTTCACATTTATCTGTTGTTATTGATTCCTGCAGTCACTGTCGTAGTGATCGGCCAAATCACTTTCCACACCCAGATTTTTAAGATGTATTCTACTTCCACTTGAATCTCAGGGCACCCACTACTGGGAGGTGAGAATCGATCGCTATGACAACCACCCGGACCCCGCGTTCGGCGTGGCGAGGATCAACACCATGAAGGACATGATGCTGGGGAAAGACGACAAGGCGTGGGCCATGTACGTGGACAACAACCGCTCCTGGTTCATGCACAACAACTCCCACACCAACAGGTCGGTAGACTGTCAGTGTTCAATAACTTTAGCAGTTTGTACCCCCAATCCCCCCCAATCCCACATCCTAGACCCCTAATAACCTCCTAATAACACAAAAACAGGACATTACACTGACTATAATGTATTAATGTACTCCAGGCACTACTCTCAATGACACCCTTCCAGCTGTAGATGGAGACTGATTCATTAAGTGAAGAGATTGAGATTTAATGCACGTTGAGTTTGTCATTTAAGTTGACCAAAGTGCTGAACAAATTAAAGTGGACGGCACATCTGTAAAAAAAAAAGGCACATAAAGGCCAATAAAAGACAAAAAAAATATAAGGCAATAGCTAATATGTGCACAAATTTAAAAACAGAGACAGACTTGTTAAACAATATGAAATAAAAGATAAAAAACAACTAAAACCCACTAGGAACAATCGAAAGACAAAGAAAACATGTACAGTACGTCTAGTAGAGGGCAACGTTTAATAAAAGGCAGAAGGCTGTTCCACCAAATAGTCTGCTTGGTAGAACAATGTGAGTCTGAAAACTTCCACATTAAAATCCTTCTAACTTATTAAATATTCTAGATCCTCAGTGAACCATACTGTCAGTGGTCTGTACACTGGTGGCTTCAATAATGAATCCATCATTTGATAAATCATTTGTAAGAACAACGTTTGAACTGCCAGGTTGTACAAATTCTTATTACTTATATATAATATAATGTAGAATACACCTTTATCAATACAGCAATACGATCTGCAGTTATTAATGTTAGTAAGAGTTAAAGTATTTCTGCAGTCACATACTGACGATTTAAACATTAATAAATAAATCAGTTAGTTCAAACTTGTTATAAAGTGGTTCTTATATTTTAAACAGAACTTTTATGTGAATAAGAACAGCAGGAGACTGAGACTCTGTTCTTCCAGTCAAACACACACACACACACACACACACACACACACACACACGGATACACACACACACACACAGGATGACAGGGGACCCCCGGGGGCTCGTACAATACCAACTAACAAACACACCAGGGAGCAGTAGAAGAAGACTACAGGAGACATCAAACCATCTCTGTCACAATGAAGCTATCAAACCCTCATTAAACATTTATTTAAAAGAAAATTTATTTCACACGAAAAAAGAAGTCGACTCTCTGAAATGTGACTTTATTTCTCCTCCACGGTCCGTCCAGACTGCAGATTTATTCACTGTGCCATTCGCTTTCATGCCGTTAATCATGTCACGTCTGTGTTATTTACCACATATTGATTGCTTCATTACTCACTGTGCTCGGTCCGAGCAGGCAGCATGTGCACGTAGACAAAGAGAGTTGGTTTCACACCATTCTGTGTCCGTTTGTATCGCCCAACCACAGTGGTTTCCAACCTTTGTCCTTAAATGATCCATTCTATCACTGAGCGAACTGAGTGACATATCGGCTTTGATGAATTTAGAGCAGTTTATTTCCTGTAGACAGAGTTTTCCTGATATTTTTAATTTTTAACAATCATAAATACTTAATAGGCTTCTTTTTTTGACAAATTCAGTGTTTTTCTTCTCTCTGACACACAAAATTAAGCCTCTGTGGATATATCAAAAGTTCCTTAATAATAATAATAATCTTAAATAATAATCTAAACTTTAAATGAAACAATTTCATTTAACTTTGTTCACAGAAATTAATGAAATACTGAGATTTAGGCCTACTGTATATATATTTTGTAAAGTAGTCTTTAACCTCTTAAAATCAAGAAGGCCTTGCGACCCCCCTGCAAAGCTTGGGCGACACCTAGTGGGGGTCCTGACCCCCAGTTTGGGAACCAGGACCCTACCACATAGACTGCTGTGAGCTAGAGTTTTGACGACTTTGTAAAAAACAAACAGAGCTCAAAACTTTATGAACAGAAATGATTAAATTATTGAATGTGGGATTTTTAATGCTTTACTTCGTCTTCAGAGCTCATTTGTAGAATAAAACAGAAATATTTTAAACTTCTCGAGTGGAGTTTGGTCCACTTTGCCAGTTAGGCCTTCATATATACCACAAATGAACCTATTTAATGTATTTGTTGTGTGTGTGTGTGTGTGTGTGTGTGTGTGTGTGCGCGTGCAGGGCAGAGGGAGGCATCACTAAGGGCTCGACTGTGGGGGTCCTGCTGGATCTGACCAACCACACACTGACTTTCTACATCAACAAGGAGCAGCACGGACCGACTGCCTTCGAGAGCCTGGACGGGGTCTTTGTTCCTGCTGTCAGCCTCAACAGAAACGTACAGGTCAGTGTGTGTGTGTGTGTGTGTGTGTGTGTGTGTGTTGGGGTGGTAGCTATGATGTAATCTTCAGTGTATGTATGTCCTGTATGAGACAGTGATTGCATGAATGAGCAGACAGAGATTGGAACAGGGAGGGTTGAACTCTTTGTCGATGTCAGAGCTGCCAAGCCGAGACAGGAAGTGTCAAAGAGCGCCGACGCTTCAGAGCAACTGATGTAAAAAGTGCAGCGTTGAATTGTCTTGTATCTTTTTAAACTGTCGGTCTTGGCAGTGGAAGAACTGATTCATCAATAAGTTGTTAAAAAAAGTGAATGAAAATTTTCTACTATTTGACCTTTTATAGTGTTTTTTTAACGGTTGTTTTATTAGTTTACTACTAATTGATTTTATCCTGCTCTCTTGGTTATATGCAAAACTTCAATTAAAAGCATTAAATGGCAGCAGTGCACCTGTACCTGACTCCCTGTGTTACAAGAGAAAAGGTCCGTGTTGCAACAATCCTCGGATACTTTTGTCCCGGTGATTTTAACGTTGTTTTTCTGCGACTGTCCGACTAATAAAAACTGCGTTGACTAAGATTCTTCACATCGACTAACGATGGAGTCAACCCTTCTGATCTCATTTTTATTTCACTTGTGTTTCAAAAAATGTTTAAACCCCTGTCTGATCTCCTCCCAGCGTGCCCTCGCTCTCCCTCAGGGACGATCTCGCTGAGCGTTTGCTCTGTTTGTCCCTTTCAGGTGACCTTACTGACGGGCCTGCAGGTGCCAAAGAATACCAAGCAGTAGGACATCCCTCCTCCCCTCCGAGCGTGCCCTGGATACCAACCAACCAACCAACGATGTCAGCCTCGGTTCGCTCGCACACAGACCTTTTCCAGTCACGTCAGACGGCATTAACCCGGCTCACCGTCCCGCTCAAGGTGCCCTCTGCGGTGGATCCAATGTGAAACCCTGCTCCATTATTCGGGACAAAGGAATAAATCTGAGTTATTATTGGCTGTAAATAAATTGATGGAGCTTGTGGACATCACTACAGAGAGGACTGGAGTTACTGTGGATTGCCATACTTTTTTCATACCCCTTTTTTTGTTGCCCTGTGAACTCCAGGACACCAACAACACTGATGTAATTATTCAGCTCCCAGTTCATTTAAAGGAAAATAGAGCCTGAAATTTCTCCTCGAGGCCTGAGACTAAACTAATCGACCCTCTCTGCAGAATCAAAGGTGAAGATTCCCACACTGTGCTAGAAAATAAAAGGTCTTGAGCTTTTTAGGGATTTAATTTAAGCTGTACCATCAGAAAACAGCAGCTTCCTGTTGCTCCTCTCTCAGGTGTGTTCACAGCTTTCAAGGTAAAACCAGACGAAGAGAGTTGTTTACAGCAGCTGTAGTGGCACCGCGGGATGTTTCACTCGTGAAATATTTAAAAAGCTAAACTTTTTATAACAGTGGTGGCTCCGACAGCACTGCCTCCTTTGTTCTTTTCCGTCTCGTTCATAAAGATCGTTTGGTGCTCTCGTCAAAGAGGTTTACACACTGAGGTCGAGCCGGGAAACATTGGCTTAATTACATTTCATTTCTCAGTAAAGTGACACATCTGCAGCGCCGGGAGAGGCCACCCTGCAGGGGAAAGGCTTTATTTTTAAATCCTAAGAGGTGAATTCATTTTGCTGCGTCTTTTAGCAGCCAGCGGTGTCTCGATTAGGATCGGTTGAGTAATTCGGAAGTTCTCATCGGGGAAGAAGGGAGGAGTTTAGTTGCACTTGAGTTTCTGATAGACTGTGGTTCACCAGTCACAGTTTATTTGCACCGCGCATGTCTTGTCTGCCTCAAGTGGTCGAATAAAAGAGAGAGAGAGAGAGTTTTATTCTGCCATCTGAAGCGGTTAAAGGAATAGTTTCTTGGCAGGAGAGAAAATCAAAACATCTCTTAGGTCCGTCCATTAAATATACAGTTAGCAGCTGGCCAGTTTTCCCCTTTAAATTCCCCCTGAAGTAGCTTCAAGGTCCACATTGCAGACTTTTAATGGCTGCACCGAATATTCATCCCGACCTATCTGGCATTTTTATAAACTTCTGGATCTCCACTGGAATTTAAAATCCAGTTATGTGTGTTTGCATAATATTTGGCAGCACGGCATTAATTTGTAATGACTAAACCGCCGGCGTGTCAGTGAGGTTAGAGGTTAAAATATGCTTGCAGCATGAGGGGGGGGACGCTCGTGTTAATTTGGTTGCCAAAACTACAGAAATGTGTGCAAACTATTTTGTACCTCGTCCTGTTGAATTAATCAAAGCGAGTGAATGAGGTCGATAAACCGCCTGAAGGAACGTTTCCCGCCTTGATGTTTCTATCCTGCAGCCTCTCCCGGGCTCCGTGCCCCCCCCCACCCCCCGTCTCAAGAAGACCTTGAGGGATCAGCGTCAGACAATGCTGAAATGAAATTTAACTTTTTTTTGTTTCTGTTTTAAGACCAATAGAAGTAGAAAAAATGTCTGATGGGTAATTTCATTCTGCGCTCGTCTCTCAGTCAGAGGCTTTTTTTTGGGGGGGGGGGGCACCTTTAATCTGTCAAACTGAAAATGATCTCAAAGTCACATCAGGTAAAGCTACGTTTCTCATCTGGGATTGGATACGGCAGCCTGTAGGGGACAGTAGCTTCAACATTCAACCAAACCACTGTGACTACAGATAGAAGACCAATGTATGTTCCATCACTTATCTTAATGCAGCAGAGAACGGAGGCGTTTTAAAGATCATTTAATCTTATTTAATCTCACAATATCTGGAATATTTCTCCTCCCTATAATGAGTGAGTGTGTGAGAGAGAGAGAGAGAGAGAGAGAGAGAGAGAGAGAGAGAGTTATTTAAAGGTAGAGACAGACCTGCCATACAGAGATCGGGGGTTTTCTGTGTGAACTGTAAATACTGTGACGCGTGATATTAAGCATGGATTAAGCATCGGACAAGTTTACAAAATATCTGAAGCTGTATTGTAAATAGTGTACTGTATTAAACTGTCTTTGCAGTGAGTGATGTTAAAGCCAACCGCTACCACAGCGCGCCCCCTGCTGGTGGACGGGGGCGACAACAGGAGTAATGCATCTCTCAGCTCAACCCTGTTGGTTTCATACCTTTAACCGCTGACGTCCTCTTTCTATCATCAGCTATCTCATTATATTCAAGCATTCAATCAGGGACATCAAACAGCAGTCATTGACAAGCTTCTATGATTTTAATTATGATATCAGGCAGCACTTGACCTTGACTGGACAGAAATACACATGAATTAAAGTATTTATTATTCCTTTTTTTTTCCTTTTCAACAGCACAAACATTATACAGTGTTATACAGAGTTTATTTAATTGTAGAGTGGTATAATAAGCTAATATCTTTACATTTTACTTAATTATGATTGAGCCTTTTTGGGATACAGGGATTATTTATTTAGGAACAAGCAGGAAGTATGTTAAGCTCCCATTCAGTCTGCAAAAACCCAACTAGCTTAGCTGACCTTTTGCACTTGATGCTGCATTCAAAATGTGTGGGAAAGATTATTGAAGCTATATTTTTATAATAACAATAGTATGTGTGAAAGGAATTGCTCGTAGTGATGAACCTGCAGAGAATTATCACCAACCTCTGCAGTTCCCTCAGCTCTACGGAGCGTTTTAGTGTCTTTCACCTCATTTCTTTTGGTTTTCAGGCCTTTAACTTTACTTTTTTTACTCTCTCAGCGCTGTTTTCGGCTCTAGCAAGCAGCTGCTTACAGCAGCAAGGCACCACGACCCCACCTATGTATTCAGCACTGAAAAGCAGCCACAGTTAGCACCCAGCTGGTGAACATCTCCTACTGCTCCGTAATCGTGCAGCTCTAACTGAAACTGTCATTTACTACCTTTCCCATATGACTTAAATGCAGCGTTAGTGTAAAAGTCAGGATCTGAACCAGTTTCTCCCGACCCAGAAAGCAACAGCTCAGTTCCCCAGACTGCCAGCCACCTCCTAAGGGCTACGTTAGCATCACGTGTGTCTTTCTGGCTGCTTCCCGCCCTCCCACACCAGAGGAGAGGTGCAAAGTCAAGCTGCCCTGAGGTCGACTCCCGCTGTAACCGGGAATAGATTGTAGGCCCAGGAGCAGAGTGAGGCGTCTGTCATAGAACCAGAGGGGAACTCTTCCTGCAGACAGTCTGGAGGATTTGGGGTTACGTGTCTGCGGGCTGTGTTGATGTTAAAATGGCAACAAATGATGACTGGAGGGAAAAACAGGTTCAGGAAGTCACACAGTGTATCAGCTAAAATGAGGTTACGCCTTTTCCTTTCCGAATACACTGTTTTTATATCAAATTAATATCAATATGTGACAGATGCAGACATAAATCTCATATATGAACGAGTCACACTGTCTAGATATGGTATTGTAAGAGTGCTCGTGTCCCTTCACCCCAGCACTTACCCACCCATGAATGTGAGATATTTTACTTCAGGATGGTGCTGGGGGGAAGAAAGCATGTCACTGCTGTTCGCTATTTAAACAAATGGCAGATTTATTTACTCTATAAAGTATGTAAATATATTTAATTACATATTTATTTTCTTTTTGTATATCGCCCTCTTCAATGTGTTCAGTATAAGAGTTAAATGGCTGATTATATATATATAAATATATATGAACTGTCTCTGGTTGATTGCCAACAGCTGCAGGTTAAAAAAGACAACAGACAACAGATTCGCTTACAGCTTGAAACACGTGATGTGCTGCAGACAAGCTTCATATTTAGTCAGCGGACTTTGTGGCCAACAGAGTTTTATTTTGAAATCAGAAAATCCGAAAACAAACTGTTCCCCGACTACCATTTATAAATATGTGGAACAAAACAGGTCATTTTTAAATTCTCTTTTGTTTTTTATTTTTAAAAACAGGAATCTGTTGGCTGCAAAGTACACCGACCATATTTCCTCACACTCTTTTCTTTTTTTTAAATATATATAAAAAAAAAAACAACTCAAAAGCTGCTTCAAGAAATCGGTGTGAGAATTTGTGACCTCACCCAGACGCACACTGCCAGATCACGCCTCTCGTTTCATCGTCGTCGCTCAGAATCCATCAGCTTTTACGTCCCCCCCTTTAACAGAAATGAGACGAACTGGTTTCTGTAGTGATCTGTAATGTTTACACTTAGAGCGCCGCTTCCTCAGGAGGTCAGGAGGTCGTGTACATTAAGGGTTTACAAGGGAGAAAAACTGCTTTCTCACGGTCCAGTCTGAGTGTTTGTACGCGTGTTTCTTCATGAAAACGTCTGCCAGGACTTTACTTGTGTGTACATTGTTGGTTTTTTTAATAATTACCCCCCCCATCTGTCCTGTTATGACCCCCTCCCTTCCAGCCAATGTAAATGTAAATGTTTTGTACGACTACATGGTTTGTATATGAAAAATGAATTGTAACTGCATACTTTGAAAACCTTTACAGTGTAAAACACGAGAGAAAAAAATGCCAATGTCGTCTTCTTTTTTTTTGGTCATTTATAAAAACAAAATAAATTAATTGTGATGGAATATGATTTGACTAAAGTCTCCGGTTTCCTGCATTACACGCTCCACATCGAGTATTCGGGGTCCGTTCTGGAGATCGATGAAGTGGATTCTTGACTCAGCAGGTCTGTCAGCAGTAAATGTCTCATATTTTACGGCGGAGCGGCGACTCTGGAAGTCAGCTCACGTCCTGCTCTCGTCCTGCAGTGAGCTGAGTCACTGATGGAAAGCAGTTCTTCCTCTTGGTCGGCTTATCTGTTCCCATCCTGGAGGGTTGAATCGCTCACCTGCAAACACACACACACACACACACACACACATTCAGTCCTCTTTATTCTTATCACCAAATGTTTAACCACAATCAGAAATACATATTCCTCCTCTCACCTGTAGTGCTGTTTAACGTTTTGGAGATGTTGGCTTTCTGGTCAGCTTGTGGTGTTCAGAACTTTAAATAACAATGTCTCTTCCCAGAAATCACGACCCGGTTACTCCCCCGACCTTGTTGTGTGAGCAGTTTTATGTAGGAACTATTTAACATCCGCCAACCGTAGCTGAACGTTAGCCGTCTCCGTGGTGATAGGTGAGCCTGTTAACGTTACAGCTCAGCTCAGGAGGACGTCATTAATGTTTACATCCTGCACTGTCACGAGCTTCTCATCCATGAGGAGATGCACGCTTCTTTCTACGCGGTGATACGTAGACAGAAAATAGTTCCTATGTTAAACTGCTCACAGTAAGATCTGTGATTTTTGGAGAGAGACGTTGCTGTTTAGTTTTTTAAAAGTATTTTTTGGTGCTTTGAGAACCACAAACGTTCATCTGGTTCCATTATATCGGAGAGAAGGCAGATATCTCCAAAACTCAGCAACTCACTACACACTTTACTTTATACACTTTTTTTGGGGTGAACTGTCCCTTTAACTTACGATTAACGCGGTTCTAAAACAAACCTGAAAATGTTCCCAGGTGAAGAACAGCAGCTGTCCTGACTTTGAATTCCTCTCTACAAGTACAAGAACACACTCACACACTCACCTATTTGCGGCGCTTGTTGCCTTTGATTTTCTGGATCTCCTTGGAGCTGAGGATCAGCATCCCGTTCTTGAAGCGGCCCACCTGTCCCGAGGGGGCCGTACCAGAACCAGAGGACTCCTTCTTCTTCTTCTTGTCCCTGGTGGAGACGACAGAGAGGTTTCAGCCACAGAGACGCAACAAGACAGACTGTATACGCACATCTGTTCGTTTTTAATGCTAAACACTGTTCACATCTTTCCACATATTGTGACTTACTGTTAATGAAGGATGTGTTATGCATCTTAGGAACTACTTCTGATAATATACAGATTCAACAACACTTATAAAGAGAAAACGTTTGATGATGTTAGTTTCAATACTAAATGTTTGCAGATATATTCAGAAACGTCTCACACACCTCTGATTACTCTGCTTCTTCTTTTTCTTCAGGTCCTACAGAGCAGTGACGCAGCGGACAACAAAGAAGAACAGGCAGATTAAAAATTACCCTGAAAACTACCAAAATACATCTTTTTTTCTAATGCAAGTAAAGCTGGAACAGGACTACAGCTGAGGGCGTTAGGTCTTACCGGCTGAACCTCCTCCTTCGCCTTCTGCTTCTTCTCTTTGATCTGCTGCTGCAGCATCTTGTAGTTGACATAATCCTTCTTAGGAGGCTGAGAGACAATAATTAAGTTGAAATGGTCACTCGCCTGTTAAAAAGGCCGTGATGAGGAGAATTAAATATGTGCAGCATTCTTACTCTGGCTCCCAGCATGACCGCTCTGTCCTGCTCAAAGACGCGCTGCTGCTCCTTTTTATAGCCGGTGATTCCAAAGCGATGGACCTCCAGACGAGCCTGATGGACGTACACAAATACAGTGTGAGGAACTTAAACACACCCAGATAATAGATCTTTATTTTAATTCGGTTGGCAGCAACAAAATCGGTTTCTGCGGTTTCACGGTTCATTAAAGACGTTTTAAAGACTTTTTATGACCATTATGAATGAAATTTAAGACTTATTTTATGTCCATGCTGTTAAAAGAAAATGTAGGTCTGCAAACATCCTGAAAATGAAATGAATTCACACATTGCTAGACTGAAACCTGAAATTAAAATTGTGCATCATGAATGTAAATGCTGCAAACATATTAATATATATATATATATAAAGATAAACTGTGATAAAACCGTCACCTTTTCCAAACTGAGCACTTCTGGCTGCTCGCTTTGTTTCTCCTCCGTTGTCTGAGGGGCCTGGAAGTGAAGACGGCACAGAGCCAGAGGCAACACAGAGACGAGGAGAGGGGAGAGTGAAGTGGATGGATGGTGACAGGAAGAACAGAAACAGAGGAAGGTTAACTAGAGGTCACATTGGAGGAGGTCAAAAAGGTCAAATAGATCACTGGTTGTAAAATGTGCCACAGTTTTATCCTGTAAAGGAATATTTTCTGTTATATATTCCTGCAAACAGCAGATGATTTTCTCAGTGCAGATGGATAATGAAGGGTCCAGATCATTTAAATCTAATTTACATTTATATTCTGGATTATTCTTTCTGACCCTGTGTGGAACAAATCATCATTCATTTTTTATATTTATTTATATTTATATATAGTTTATGAGCTGTAACGATTGGTAGATAATTGATGAAACCATCGACAGAAAAGGAATCAGAAGCTATTTTGACGATTTATTAACAGTTTTAGTCATTTTTTGAGTGGTTCCAGATTCTTAAATGTAAGGATTTAATTTTTTTTGTTACATATAAACTGAATATCTTCGGGTTTTGGACATTTGGTCAAAAAAACAACATATATGTTGAATACATCCTCTCAGAAATTATAACATTTTTTTACTATTTTCTAGACTTTTATTGACCAAACAATTATTTGATTCATTGACAAAATAACTGGGAAATGAATTAATAATGAAAATAACACTTTAAACCCTATTTATGAGGAGACCATATAACGTACCCAGACTGACTCAGATCAACTCGGCCTCGATCGTGCACACTGAAGCAGAATATAACGATCTGTAATGTGCCCACTCAGAGTTTTACCACTAACAGTGAATGCAGCAGAGACATTAACTGGCCTTCATATCGTCGTCTAAGTACACAGAGGAGTCTTACAGTATCTTACTTTATGTAGACTTACAGGCGTTCTGTCGGGCGCAGGCGTCTGCTGCTTGGTTTTCAGTTTCTTTCTGGGGTCCTGAAAGGTCACGACCTCCACGTGGCTCACCTGCTGGACGGTTGGACCTGAGCAAGACGTGAGACATTAAGAGCGAAAAGGAGGAAGACTGGAGGTTAAAGGACACACTTTAATGACAGATATACAGGCGGTGTGTACGGAGGCTGCTGTACAAAGATAATCAATTAATTATTGATTAGTTTGAGTGTCAAATTTCTAAACATCAGTAGAAAAGTTTCCTGCCTCGAGTCCCGGAAAGAGAACGAGTCTACCTGTGTGTTCAGTCTGCTCGAGTTCAACGTGATCGGCTCTGTCGTCTTCAGTGTCACCGTAGATGGCATCGCCTGTGGGGAACTCTTCATCCTCCTCTTCTTCCTCTCTTCTCCTTTTTTTCTTCGTTTGAGACTTGAGCTTCTTTTTGGATGCCGGTCCGTTACCTGAAGCAACAGGAGCGTTAAATGTCTGATTAACTGCTCTGAACGAGGAGATAATGTGGAGTCAGCGTTTATCTCTGAAGTTAATTTACAATCTACACGAAGCAATAAAACAACTTCTACCTCTTCTAGTTGTTAATTTAATTATATGTTTATTATTGAGGTTGTAGTTAGAGAAGGTGTTACAGATGGGTTTTTCTATGTGCAGGTGTACCTCATATTAAAAACAGTGTATTACTTACATAAGTATGTTTTTACTATTATATATAGTATATGCTATATATTGTATAGTGTAGCAGAAGTTTATGTTTTTATGTGTATACTACCTATTTTTGTACTGTACCAATAAAAACAAATACAGTTAATATTATTCATATATAAAATAATTTAGATTATACTTATGTTGTGCAGTTATATTTATTTAAACTGTGCAACAACAACCTATAAAAAGGTGTTATAGTGTGTGTAACTCTCATTTTCTAATTTCTATTATATCTAATATTTTATTTCATGTGTACTTTATTATCTATCACTCTTTATCCTGCAGGAATCCTACAGACTCATTCCCAGCTGTTCCTGAAAGACTTTAAAGGGACTAATGTAACTTTATGAACTGTGAACTGTAACAAGGAGTCACTAATAATAACTATAGATCGCCTTTAAGACTCAAAGTGACAAAAACAATTAACAGTGTATATCTACACTACCAGTCAAAAGTTTGGACACACCTTCTCATTTAATGTTTTTTCTTTATTTTCATGACGATTCTCAAAACTATGAATGAACACATATGGAATTATATAGTAAACAAAAAAGTGTGAAATAACTCTAAATATGTTTTATATTTTAGATTCCTCAAAGTAGCCACCCTTTGCTTTGTTGACAGCGCTGCAAACCCTTGGCCTTCTCTCAATGAGCTTCATGATGTAGTCACCTGAAATGGTTTTCACTTCACAGCTGTGCCTTGTCAGGGTTCATTTGTGGAATTTCTTGCCTTCTTAATGGAGTTGGGACTATCAGTTGTGCAGAAGTCAGGTTGGTACACAGCTGACAGCCCTATTAGACAACTGTTAGAATTCATATTATGGCAAGAACCAATCAGCGAAGTAAAGAGAAACGACAGTCCATCATTACTTTAAGAACTGAAGGTCAGTCAGTCCGGAAAATTGCAAAAACTTTGAATGTGTCCCCAAGTGCAGTCGCAAAAACCATCAAGCGCTACGACGAAACTGGCTCACATGAGGACCGCCCCAGGAGAGGAAGACCAAGAGTCACCTCTGCTGCTGAGGAGAAGTTCATCCGAGTCACCAGCCTCAGAAATCACAAGTTAACAGAACCTCAGATTAGAGCCCAGATGAAGGCCATCTCTACATCAACTGTTCAGAGGAGACGAATCAGGCCTTTATGGTCAAATAGCTGCTAAAAAAACCACTACTAAAGGAAAAGCAACAAGCAGAAGAGATTTGTTTGAGCCAAGAAACACAAGGATTGGACTTTAGACCAGTGGAAATCTGTGCTTTGGTCTGATGAGTCCTAATCTGAGATCTTTGGTTCCACCCGCCGTGTCTTTGTGCGACGCAGAAAAGGTGAACGGATGGTCTCTACATGTATGGTTCCCACCGTGAAGCATGGAGGAGGAGGTGTGATGGGTCTTTGCTGGTGACACTGTTGGGGATTTATTCAGAATTGAAGGCACACTGAACCAGCACGGTTCCCACAGCATCCTGCAGCATCATGCCATCCCATCCGGTTTACGTTTAGTTGGACCATCGTTTATTTTTCCACAGGACGACGACCCCAAACACACCTCCAGGCTGTGGAAAGGGCTATTGGACCAAGAAGGAGAGAGATGGTTTGGGAGGAGATGGCCCGCAGAGTGAAGGCAAAAGGACCAACAAGTGGGAACATCTCTGGGAACTCCTTCAAGACAAAACCAGCTCAGGTGACAACCTCAGGAAGCTCATCCAGAGTTTGCAGAGCAGTAATGAAAGCAAAGGGAAACTAAAATATAAAACACACATTTAGAGTTATTTCACACTTTTTTTGTTTACTATATAATTCCACATGTGTTCATTCATAGTTTGTAGAGTGAGAATCCACAAAGTCAATAAAGAAAAACCATTAAATGAGAAGGTGTGTCCAAACTTTACACTGCTAGTGTAGATTAACATTATATATTAATTAACATTATATATATAATGTTAATATATAAATCTATTGTTAATATATATATATATAAGGAAGGGAACGGTCAGCTGCTAGAAAAGCGAAGCTAACAGCGAAGCTAACAGCTACTCACCGAAGTCGTACAGTTTCTCCAAAACGTGTTCGAGAAACAAACTGTCTCCGTGTTGTTGTTGTTGTTGTTGTTGTTGTTGTTGTTGTTGTCCTCCGTCTGTCTCCGAGTCCATGTTTGAGCAGAAGCGGGTTAAAGAACCGGAGAACGAAAAAACAAACGGCGAAACACACACGTGGGGCGGGCGAACGTCACTTCCCGGCTGCCGTAGTTGCGGAAATGCTACGGAAGTGCTAGTTGCGCACACACGCCCATGCTCAGCTCTTCGGGCGTCGTTGTCGACGAAGAGGAGGAAGAACAGGAGGAAGAACAGCGCGGACTCTGGTGCTCGGGTCCCTTCGGACTGACTGTGTTTGTAAACGCGGATAAAATGTCGTCGGGAGCAGTTTATTCGGTATGTGTGGGAGCTAACGGGGAGCTAACGGGGAGCTAACGGGGAGCTAACGCTATCAGCTGGCTCAACATCTGTTCTCATGTAGAAACTGTTTGTGTCTTTATTCTCCATCTGCAGGCTCTGTGATCCAACCACAACCCTTTACAGTGTTTATTGTGTTTATTGTGTTTATTGTTTGTTTATAGTGTTTATAGTTTATAGTGTTTATAATGTTTATAATGTTTATTGTTTATTGAGCTTTAATAAAAGTGTTTGTGTGGAAGATGTAACTCTGTAGTTGTATCAGTGTTTCCTGCTTTATCCTGCAGAGGTGGAGAATATCTGAAGGGCCAGTGGTTCTTTACTTTATTAAAACCCTCCTCCTCCTCTTTCTCCTCCTCCTCCTCTTCCTCCTCTTCCTCCTCCTCCTCCTCTTCCTCCTCTTCCTCCTCCTCCTCTTCCTCCTCTTCCTCCTCCTCTTCCTCCTCCTCCTCCTCTTCCTCCTCTTCCTCCTCCTCCCCCCAACCAGAACCTCCTCCTCCAGTCAGAAATCAGAGTTTGTTCCTGCAGTTTAATGTTTGAGTCTGTAGTTTGTTCCTACAGTTTGATGTTTGAGTCTGTAGTTTGTTCCTACAGTTTGATGTTTGAGTCTGTAGTTTGTTCCTACAGGTTGATGTTTGAGTCTGTAGTTTGTTCCTACAGTTTAATGTTTGAGTCTGTAGTTTGTTCCTACAGGTTGATGTTTGAGTCTGTAGTTTGTTCCTACAGTTTAATGTTTGAGTCTGTAGTTTGTTCCTACAGGTTGATGTTTGAGTCTGTAGTTTGTTCCTACAGTTTAATGTTTGAGTCTGTAGTTTGTTCCTACAGTTTGATGTTTGAGTCTGTAGTTTGTTCCTACAGTTTAATGTTTGAGTCTGTAGTTTGTTCCTACAGTTTAATGTTTGAGTCTGTAGTTTGTTCCTACAGGTTGATGTTTGAGTCTGTAGTTTGTTCCTACAGTTTGATGTTTGAGTCTGTAGTTTGTTCCTACAGTTTGATGTTTGAGTCTGTAGTTTGTTCCTACAGTTTGATGTTTGAGTCTGTAGTTTGTTCCTACAGTTTGATGTTTGAGTCTGTAGTTTGTTCCTACAGTTTGATGTTTGAGTCTGTAGTTTGTTCCTGTTCCTACAGTTTGATGTTTGAGTCTGTAGTTTGTTCCTACAGTTTGATGTTTGAGTCTGTAGTTTGTTCCTGTTCCTACAGTTTGATGTTTGAGTCTGTAGTTTGTTCCTACAGGTTGATGTTTGAGTCTGTAGTTTGTTCCTACAGTTTAATGTTTGAGTCTGTAGTTTGTTCCTACAGTTTAATGTTTGAGTCTGTAGTTTGTTCCTACAGTTTAATGTTTGAGTCTGTAGTTTGTTCCTACAGGTTGATGTTTGAGTCTGTAGTTTGTTCCTACAGTTTGATGTTTGAGTCTGTAGTTTGTTCCTACAGTTTGATGTTTGAGTCTGCAGAGTTTGTTCCTACAGTTTAATGTTTGAGTCTGTAGTTTGTTCCTACAGTTTGATGTTTGAGTCTGTAGTTTGTTCCTACAGGTTGATGTTTGAGTCTGTAGTTTGTTCCTACAGTTTAATGTTTGAGTCTGTAGTTTGTTCCTACAGTTTGATGTTTGAGTCTGTAGTTTGTTCCTACAGTTTAATGTTTGAGTCTGTAGTTTGTTCCTACAGTTTAATGTTTGAGTCTGTAGTTTGTTCCTACAGGTTGATGTTTGAGTCTGTAGTTTGTTCCTACAGTTTGATGTTTGAGTCTGTAGTTTGTTCCTACAGTTTAATGTTTGAGTCTGTAGTTTGTTCCTACAGTTTAGTGTTTGAGTCTGTAGTTTGTTCCTACAGTTTGATGTTTGAGTCTGTAGTTTGTTCCTACAGTTTGATGTTTGAGTCTGTAGTTTGTTCCTACAGTTTGATGTTTGTCTGTAGTTTGTTCCTACAGGTTGATGTTTGAGTCTGTAGTTTGTTCCTACAGTTTAATGTTTGAGTCTGTAGTTTGTTCCTACAGGTTGATGTTTGAGTCTGTAGTTTGTTCCTACAGTTTAATGTTTGAGTCTGTAGTTTGTTCCTACAGGTTGATGTTTGAGTCTGTAGTTTGTTCCTACAGTTTAATGTTTGAGTCTGTAGTTTGTTCCTACAGTTTGATGTTTGAGTCTGTAGTTTGTTCCTACAGTTTAATGTTTGAGTCTGTAGTTTGTTCCTACAGTTTAATGTTTGAGTCTGTAGTTTGTTCCTACAGGTTGATGTTTGAGTCTGTAGTTTGTTCCTACAGTTTGATGTTTGAGTCTGTAGTTTGTTCCTACAGTTTGATGTTTGAGTCTGTAGTTTGTTCCTACAGTTTGATGTTTGAGTCTGTAGTTTGTTCCTACAGTTTGATGTTTGAGTCTGTAGTTTGTTCCTACAGTTTGATGTTTGAGTCTGTAGTTTGTTCCTACAGTTTGATGTTTGAGTCTGTAGTTTGTTCCTGTTCCTACAGTTTGATGTTTGAGTCTGTAGTTTGTTCCTACAGTTTGATGTTTGAGTCTGTAGTTTGTTCCTGTTCCTACAGTTTGATGTTTGAGTCTGTAGTTTGTTCCTACAGGTTGATGTTTGAGTCTGTAGTTTGTTCCTACAGTTTAATGTTTGAGTCTGTAGTTTGTTCCTACAGTTTAATGTTTGAGTCTGTAGTTTGTTCCTACAGTTTAATGTTTGAGTCTGTAGTTTGTTCCTACAGGTTGATGTTTGAGTCTGTAGTTTGTTCCTACAGTTTGATGTTTGAGTCTGCAGAGTTTGTTCCTACAGTTTAATGTTTGAGTCTGTAGTTTGTTCCTACAGTTTGATGTTTGAGTCTGTAGTTTGTTCCTACAGGTTGATGTTTGAGTCTGTAGTTTGTTCCTACAGTTTAATGTTTGAGTCTGTAGTTTGTTCCTACAGTTTGATGTTTGAGTCTGTAGTTTGTTCCTACAGTTTAATGTTTGAGTCTGTAGTTTGTTCCTACAGTTTAATGTTTGAGTCTGTAGTTTGTTCCTACAGGTTGATGTTTGAGTCTGTAGTTTGTTCCTACAGTTTGATGTTTGAGTCTGTAGTTTGTTCCTACAGTTTGATGTTTGAGTCTGTAGTTTGTTCCTACAGTTTGATGTTTGAGTCTGTAGTTTGTTCCTACAGTTTGATGTTTGAGTCTGTAGTTTGTTCCTACAGTTTGATGTTTGAGTCTGTAGTTTGTTCCTGTTCCTACAGTTTGATGTTTGAGTCTGTAGTTTGTTCCTACAGTTTGATGTTTGAGTCTGTAGTTTGTTCCTGTTCCTACAGTTTGATGTTTGAGTCTGTAGTTTGTTCCTACAGGTTGATGTTTGAGTCTGTAGTTTGTTCCTACAGTTTAATGTTTGAGTCTGTAGTTTGTTCCTACAGTTTAATGTTTGAGTCTGTAGTTTGTTCCTACAGTTTAATGTTTGAGTCTGTAGTTTGTTCCTACAGGTTGATGTTTGAGTCTGTAGTTTGTTCCTACAGTTTGATGTTTGAGTCTGTAGTTTGTTCCTACAGTTTGATGTTTGAGTCTGCAGAGTTTGTTCCTACAGTTTAATGTTTGAGTCTGTAGTTTGTTCCTACAGTTTGATGTTTGAGTCTGTAGTTTGTTCCTACAGGTTGATGTTTGAGTCTGTAGTTTGTTCCTACAGGTTGATGTTTGAGTCTGTAGTTTGTTCCTACAGGTTGATGTTTGAGTCTGTAGTTTGTTCCTACAGTTTGATGTTTGAGTCTGTAGTTTGTTCCTACAGTTTAATGTTTGAGTCTGTAGTTTGTTCCTACAGTTTAATGTTTGAGTCTGTAGTTTGTTCCAACAGTTTAATGTTTGAGTCTGTAGTTTGTTCCTACAGTTTGATGTTTGAGTCTGTAGTTTGTTCCTACAGGTTGATGTTTGAGTCTGTAGTTTGTTCCTACAGTTTAATGTTTGAGTCTGTAGTTTGTTCCTACAGTTTGATGTTTGAGTCTGTAGTTTGTTCCTACAGTTTGATGTTTGAGTCTGTAGTTTGTTCCTACAGTTTAATGTTTGAGTCTGTAGTTTGTTCCTACAGTTTAATGTTTGAGTCTGTAGTTTGTTCCTACAGTTTGATGTTTGAGTCTGTAGTTTGTTCCTACAGTTTGATGTTTGAGTCTGTAGTTTGTTCCTACAGTTTGATGTTTGAGTCTGTAGTTTGTTCCTACAGTTTAGTGTTTGAGTCTGTAGTTTGTTCCTACAGTTTAATGTTTGCAGAGTTTGACAGCAGAATGAAGTTTTCACATTCTCCTGCTGAAAGTGAAAACATCAGATTTTAAAGCTGCAGTGTGAAACATTGAGGAGGATCTATTGGATGCGTTGTTGTTTTACATTAGTGTATAAGCGCCTCAGTATTGTTATATTGTGTTATAGTTACTTTAGAATGAGCTACAGGAGGCCGCCGTGTTTCTACAGTAGCCCAGAACGGACAAACCAAACACTGGCTGTAGATTTTTTTTTAAATTTTTTAACGTCCGCCGTAGTTTCAGTGTTCAGTTAATTGTTGTTAATTTCAGTGCACGGACACTGAGAATGGAGGCATCTTGTGTCCAGCAGGACTTTTTTTTGCTTTTAATTTAATATATTCTGGGATTTGTAATGAGTTAAAGGAGTATTTGACTTTTTAAATGTGGAAATTATACCTTTTTTTTTTTTCCCCTGCAGAAATCAGACACACATTGTTGTTCCAAGTAGATTATTTGTGTATATTTCTTAATAAATGTCTAGAGGGGATCTTTAAG